TGCAACATTTGCAACATACTCAGGGTCGAAATTCAATTTCATGATCATAAAACTGTAAAAGTTCTCAGTTGTGAAAGACTTTATTTCTTGAAGTTCTTTAAGTTTCAGTTCAAAAGCACATTTTTCATTGTCAGATAGTGCTGCTGTAATGTACTCACTCTCAATGACAGTTTTGAGGTACCTGACTTTTGGGGTTTTTGTACGTATGCAGTTTAAGATTATGACAAATGCACCTGTCTCTCTCGTGAATTTTCTGAAAGAGTGCTGGAGTTCAACTGTGTTTTCTGTTTCCTCTGAGTCTTCCACTAATAGCAGGACTGGTGTTTTTAATGAATGCTCACTTTTTCCACACTTCATTAAATGAGCAACCTGTTTGGCTACTTCATCCTTCAAAACAGTGTTATCTTTCAACACTGCACATCGGAATTCTTTTCGCAGATTCCACATCACATGCATGGCCATGGTGGTGCCGCCACACCTTGGGTGATGAAAGAGATTCAGCATGACACAAGTACTTGTGGGATCTTTGGCCTGAGATCTAATCATGTGTTCGAGTTTTGAGTGTTTGTCGCGTTTTATGAATGGCTTTACTGCAGGTTGCTCTGAAAAATAGAAGTTCCACCATTTCACTTTGCCTCCTCTATAGAACTCAGACTCAAATTCAGCAGAGCTCTCATCGTATTCGTTTTCACATTCATTTTCACACAAGATGTCAAGCAAAATGTCTTTACTCTACGGCCCCTTTTCGGCTTCCTTCCTCCGATCATCCAGAACATTTATTTGGTCATTAATTCGAGTCAGTTCGTCATGCCAGTCTCTTGGATTACCTATTTTATATATATCGCGGGTTGCAGCTCCCTCTCTGATGAAGAGTGATTTTCCTTTGCTCTTTTTCCATTGATTGTCCTCATCCAGAGTCTGGATTTTAAACAGCTTATCCTGAACTATGCTGTGGGATGGAACAACATCCACCTCTATGACATATTTGCCAGATGGGGTGCTATCAGAGCAGAGCACTTCTACAAAGCGGGGTTGCCTGATGCATTGCTTTGCTTCATCTGTGTGTTCTTCAAAGTATGATTTAATGCCCTGGTTAAAATGATCAATGATAGTGTCCTTCTTGTCAACACTGACCCCGATAATCTCACCATGAGCATTTGGAGAATCTTTGGAGTCTGCTACACCAAAGTGGATGGTTCCATTCGTGCGGCTGTTCTTACACCCAGCAGTAAACCGAAACACCTCTTTATTGAACTTCTTCTTCATCACATGAATGTCATCGGTTCTACCCATGAATTTATACTCATGAGCTGGATCGGTCAGATTACCAGGTCCCGTCTCAGGCGGAAGAGTGTAGTTCTGAATATATCGATGGGAAGCAGAGTTCTGATCAAATGGATAGAGAGTACATGAGTGCTGTGCGGATCCAGACTTCCTCATGTGCTTTTCATTTTCAACTACTTTATCAGCATTAATGTTTGATGTTTTAGGGTCAGCTGGCTCTGTTGGTTCGGTTTCTTTGGAAGATGTACAGCTATAAGTGGAATATGTGTATTTTGTGAAGGCGGCTCCCTGAAAAGTTCATTTGGTTGTGGCTCTTCTTTTGGGGTGCCTTTGGATGTGTTATCCATTGAATTTTTTCCCAGTTGTATTATTTTGTCTATGGAATTAGCACTTTTATGTTCTGTTTCATCCTTTTTGTGTGATTTTCTCATTGATTTTTTGGCATTTTTAGATATTTGTGTTTGATCTGTTGAAATGCTGTCTTTGTTTTCCACTGTTGTGTCTAGCCTGGCCTCTGTGTGCTGCGTGTAGGAATGGTCAGAAGATTCTTGTTGTTCCTTCTTTAACTTTTCGAACCGGGTGATAATCTTAACAGCTGGACCATGCTTAATACCAAGTTCCTGCAGATGTTTGGGCTGGTAACAGACTAGTTCTTCCCCTGATACGTCTTCCTCATACAGCTTGTCTGCATGTTTTTTATCTACTTTAATCACTTCAGTCAGCCAGTAATGAACTTGCTCTCTTGTCCACTCCTCTACTCGAAGAGGAAGTTCTGTCTGTTGACTCATTGCCATACTGAAACAAACAAATGAATTGAAATTAAGAAACTGTAATTTCTACACAATACAAAGGATCTCAAGATGCATTTTTCAACTACTTTTAATTAGAGATGACCGATATTGTCTTTTTAAGACCGATATATAGCAATATAGATTTTTTTTTTTAAAGTGTCCCATAACTGATATGCAGAATTTTTAATTGTTCTATATGTTATTTTTTTAACCGAATAATAACTAAATACAACAATAAAAATATGGATTGTTTTTTTTAATTGTGAATATTTATAATTTGCGTAATTTCTAGGCTACATATACATATGATACATATAATATTCCATTCAGAATTTGAATAAAAGTTCTGTTTTTGTCAAAATTAAGTAATGCAAATGCAGACTTAAGGCCTGTTCACACCAAGGACGATAATTATAAAGATAACGATAAAGATAATGATATAGTTCTAAAAATCGTTCTCAATATTAAAGAATGGCAGAATCCACACCACAGCTATAAAGATAAAGGCACAGAGAAACGATATCGTTGGAATCACTTTCAGAACGATTTTTTACAGCTGATGAACTATAAACACATTGACAGCCAATCAGAATCAATCCTGCCATGATGAGCTCGAGAGTTTAAAGAGGCAGACGAGTGTGCGCTTGGAATAAGACGATATTGTCCACTGGTGAGGACGCTAATCTAGTTATCTTTATAGTTACAGTTCTTGGTGTGAACGGACCTTAATAGATTAATAAAAAAGTATTTGAATTTTCATGTCAAAATATTTTTGAAATGCGGTTGCAATTATTTGTAAAAGTAATGACTTGAAAATTCAGTTCTATCATTTTACGTTGTATTCTCGTTGTGGTGAAAAGTTTTATTTGTTTTGCAGCATTGCAACATTGTGTAATTTGTTTAATTTGACATAATTTTATGATAAAAACAGTACACAGTCGTCATGATGTTAACTTCGAATCAAACTACACAAATTACCTAATTTTAAAACCTCTCTCAAGTAAACAAATTTTTTAAATAAAACTGAAAACAAAGAGTAAAAGTAGGTTAAAAACCTTAATTAAAACCATATTATTCACTCATGTTTGCTCTTCTGTTTCCTAACGTTACCTATTTATCTGAATGCCTGTAATTAATCAGGCAAAACAGCTCAGACGATTACAGTTTTTCACATTTGCTAAGACACTGAACACCATTCTCTGAACCAAATTCTCAATAGCCTAAAGCAATTTGTCAAATAAATCACTCTTTCTGCAAAACCTTAAACAAGTTCAGGCAGTTTAGACACTGTTTGCAGATCTCATGCAATCTTTTTGCAAAACTCTAAACACATTCTCACTCACTAAAACGTAATTTGCACTGTGAAAAACTTGTGATGCAAAACCCTAAACACAAGAAAGCAAAAGTTAAAGGGGTCATATGATGCGATTTAAATTTCGATATTTGTTTCCTTTATATTAGCGCTGTTTTGGACGGATTGTTTGAATGCATTCGTTTACTGGATCATTGGACTGAAAACTTTCCCGGAGTATTCACGAAACTTAGGTGTGATTTCTTTTGTTTGTTCTTTTGTTCTATTTATTGCAAAATATTTACTAAATACAATTAAAAAAAAAATTGTAACTACATGCACGTCCAGTGTTCTCCATTTTTTGATGTAGTGTCTAATAAATGATCTGTAGTGGGTATATTATTGACTAATTTGTGTACTGTGTATGATTTGAAAGCTTTGTTTGATTTTGAGTACAGGTGAAATGGTTTTGAAGCGATTGTTTGATTTTGCCAGAAGAGTCAGGGGTTCTGTGAATTTAGTTTGAAGGTTTGGATTTGTGTTTAAGGTTTTGAGAAAATGAGTGATGGTTTCAAGAAATGGGTTTTAGCAATTCAGAAAAACTGTAATCATTACACTAACTATGAGATGTTTTGAAAATGTAAGAGCACTGCATTTTTTATTCCATTGTCTTCCATTCATACACATGCGAATGCAGGAGACAGGAAAAACAAGCTCATGTGAATTTTTGCTGCATTCCAGAGTTCAAGTTTGGTGAAATCTGCCCTGTGAATTTAAGCCATGTGTTGATGTGTGGCCAATAAAAAGTCAGCTTGCTCGGGAGCAAATTACCCTCCTCCATCCCCAGCTCCTCCTTTCGCCACAGTCAGGACTTGGCTTTCTGATATTCCTTGCTAATCAGACTCCTTTATCTTGAATAAAGTGTTACACTTAAATATCATTAAGTACATTAATGATATCTGCCTTGTTCTGTTCTGGTAACCCTAGGGGGGTTATTATTGCTGCTCTCCCTGCTCTTTCATGACAGGCTGCATGGATGGGCAGGGAGGTTTTTGCCCAGAACAGAACCATACCGCCAAACCAAACGTATGCTAAGTATCTATCATTTTGACGATAGTGGTCCTGACAGAAATAGTTTTAGGTTTTTGAATGTATTATATGTTGAATTATGTTTTCAAAAAAGGCGCTGCAGAGTATGACGCCATATTACGTCCGCAGTGTCCGCATGCTCAGTCTAGTGTGACTGTTGGGCACCTACACACTAATAGAGATCGAAGTATGTTCTGTTGTTTACCTTACCTCTTCTGGAGTTATGTAAGCTCTCTAAGCTGTGTCCATTACTGTTTTTTTCTTGTTCTCACCTTGCGTTAGCAAGCAGCCTACTGACAAGAAAATTGAAGACAGATTTTTTTTTTGTTGTTGAATCCAAAATCAGTAATTATCTGTATTTATGAATGAAAATTATTAAGATCAACACATTCATTTTAGAAACTCTTAATTTAGGCCATAGACTTAATTTGAATTAATTGACTTAATTTAAGTGTGTGTGTGTGTGTGTGTGAAAAAGTGTTTATTTGTGCAAGTTTGTCCATGTGTACATGCTTATTTTACATATGTTCATTTTTTTAATGCAGGTAAATGAACATCTGAGAGAACTTTTGGCCCAAGAACATAGAGTTCTAGATATAGGAGAACCCTGCACAGTTCAAAAGGTGAGGAGATGTTCTCTGAAGTGTTGATTTAATTAAGTATTGATCTTTGTATTAAAATCAAGTCGATTCCACTTCTTTAGAACGTCTAAAATACACTCATATTATATTTACATGTAATATTTTATTAACAGTTATTTTCTGGGCAGAGTCTTATGATAGATAAACCCACACAATGCTAAATGAATTTTAATGCACAGACCATTTACAGTAAACTTTAATTGTAAAAACTGTAAAAGGAAATTTTGGCTGTTGATACTAAATTTCACAGACATGCCACATAATTGTCATGAATTCTATTCTGTGCTTTACAAATGTAACTCCTACCATGCCTTACAATATTTCTATAATACACTATTCTGCCCTCACTTTGGTGTCTCTCTTTCTGAAGTTAGACAGAAAGATGAACACTTTCCAACACATAGGCTTGTTGAAGAATGCCGCTTTATTCCACACCATGTTAAATATCTTGAAACAGAGTTAAAATGCAGAAAGGAGAAATATAGTGGAGCCATTGTTATCTCTAAGAACATAATAATATCTCCAGTTAGTGTCATTTATGGTATATAGTTCTTTCACATTTACATTACATTTACATTTATGCATTTAGCAGACGCTTTTATCCAAAGCGACTTACAGTGCATTCAGGCTATACATTTTTTTTTTTTACCAGTATGTATTTCACAGCTTTATGAACAATAAATTGAGCAAATTGAATATAAATTAACCATAAAAACTTACAGATAATGCTTACTACAGATGATCACAATAAGAATGGCTGCTACAAGTTTGTTGTGTGAAGTTCCACTTAAATAAAGCAATTAACTGACTTTTAACTGTCTTGAATGTTACTATGGCAACTATGTTTTAAAGGAAGCTACATGACTAGGTATCAGAATTATGATCACTACAAACATTAAACTTTAAATAGTTGATCCAGAACATATACAGATTCCTAATAATCCTGTTATATATGTTTGTTCAACATCATGCACGAATATGGTATGATATGTCTATACAGTATCTCAATTTTAAAAAATGACGTTATACAAAAGTTTTTTTTTAATAAAAGATACAGCTACAGTCTAAACATAAGTTCATCATTGTATATCATTTTTAAAAAACACAGAAAAGAGCAGTACTTACATAAAAGTCTTCTGTTTGAGTTTTTGAAATACAGGGTGCTGTGTTACTCAGTAGGCATGCAAATACAAATCACAGTGGAAGCATTGTGTTGAGGAACGTCCGTAAAAGGGTGTGCAGTGCCTTAAATGTCTACAGACTGGTTTTATTTTGTACCTGCCTTTGTAATTTTGGCCCCACCTTAACCTCTGTTAATTCAAACACCCTTGATCAACCTTTGAAAACCATTTAGCCAAATGCAAATATCAGGAGACAAGGTTTTATGAGCTAAAAAAAAAAAAACTATTAACCATTCACCACACCTAAAGCTTTTCTAAGTAAATTTGATCATAAATGTATTGACACTGCTAAGTTTGAATCCACAGATCATATAACAAAAATACATCAGTTCTGTAATCTCATACATATTGCTTTTTTATAGAGCTGTAGCTATAGTTGTTCTGGTTAATTCACAACTATATGCTTAAGTTTTGTACTCCTTAATTGCGTGTGTGTGTGTGTGTGTGTACCTGGTATTCCCTACTTTATGGGAACCAAATGTCCCCAGAAGTATAGTAATATCAGTAAATTTTGACCTTGTATGGATTTTTTTTTTGGTCCCCATGAGGAAACTTATACATTTGAAACTTATAAACCTTATAAATCAGACACAATGAATTTTTTTTTTAATCTAAAAATGCAGACATTTTTGTGTGGGTTTAGGGATAGGGTTGGGGTAAGGGGATAGAAAATAATGTTTGTACAGTGTAAAATCATTACGCCTATGGGATGTCCCCATAAAACATGCAAACCAGTATGTGTGTGTGTGTTTGTGTGTCCCTTAACTGGCTCTGGTTATGATGCATTTCCATTTTAACAATCTTGTTGTCATAGCAACGATTCTGTGTGCATAATCCACAGGGCCAGTACAGGAGAGAGGACTCTAAAGCACGTCCGGCTCTTTGTCTCCCCCTGGTGGACAATATCCTGAAGGATAACACAGATGGCTGCGCACTGGCTGCACTACTGCACTTCTACTGTCCTGATGCTGTGCCACTGCAAGGTACTGCTGCAGGAAACACTTCTCTGTGATATGTACCACAAGATTCAACTTTCCCATATTTTCCCATGCTACTAACCCTAACCCTTGCAGAATATGCGAAATGTTAATAATTTAAGATGGAAACATTTACTGATGCTCAAGAAGGCAAAACAATAAAAGCCGGGGTGTAAACTTTTGAACTGGATGATGTGTAAATTTTTCTTATTTTGTTTAAAGATCGTATATTTTTCATTTAGTACTGCCCTTAAGAAACTGTGTAAAATACTTCTGCATATGTTTCCGAGAAGACAAAATAATCAATTTCAAAAAGTTCACACCCTCCTGCTCTTAATGCATCATGTTGCCTTCTTGAGCATCAGTAAATGTTTTCATCTTTTGTAATAGTTGTGTATGAGTCCATCAGTTGTCCTGAGTGTGGGAAAAAAAATCTCAAAATCATATAGAGTTGGAAAGGGGTCAAATATGCATAAGATGCTGGAAAACCAAAGAATGTGGAGGGACCTGGAGGTTTTTTCAGAAGATCAGCCGGTTTAACTGCTAACTGTAAAAAACAGCTTAACTGCTCAGGACAAACAAGGAACTCATAAACAACCATCATAAAAAAAAGAAAAAAAAAACAGTCGAGGATCGATCAGGTAAGAACACACAGTATTAAGATTCAAGGGTGTGTAAACTTTTGAATGAGATCATTTTTATAAATTCAGTTGTTATTTTGTCTTGTGAAGTATATGTAAACATCTGTTATGTGAAATAGCTTATTCAGGATGATACTAAATAAATAATGTATGTAAACATGAGCAGAATTGTATAAGAGAGTTTCATCTGACCATCAGTACTGTTTATAATGTCTAGGCTGTTTCTCCTCCTAATCTCCTCCACCGCTCTTTAAAATATAATATTCTGTGTAGAATTCAAATGGGTCAGATATGTTTTGTGGTCTGTGCCAACTTGTGTATGATCTGCTCTGAGCTTGTGTTTCTGAACTGTGTGCATGCTGCTGAAACCAGTGTCTTTATTTGTCCCAGTGGAAAGCATTTTTACGCTGTCTGATGCTTACAAATCCTCTATATGGTCCACTATGTGCTATTGTTCATATTATTTATTTATCTATCTATTGTTTTTTATTTATTTTTATTGATTGATTCAGTAGAGGAAGAACAGTAAATTACGGAAGTTGAATCACCTGCATGTGTGCTAAATACTAGGCCATATATTTTAGACAGAGTGTGTTCCTACTGTCTTAATTTTATTTTTGGTTGAGAGAGTACAACCCTCCGACAGAGGCCTGTACAGATAAACTGTCAACAAAATACTCAGCCCATAATCTGGACCTGTAGATAACACACACACACACAAACAACATCAAGAAAACTACATTATCCACTAAACTCTCTCTGAAGTGCCTCATGACAGGAAATTATCAACCTTCGGATATTCTGAGTCAACTGAAGGTCTCTGACTCTCTTTAAAATTAACTTAGTGCTATAATGGAAGAGCATAATGGAAGAGCTTCTACTCTGTTTAACAGTAAATAACCTGCTTGTACATCAGAAGCCTCTTGATGTCAATTATTTTAGATACATTTCAGAAATCCTAACAGAGACCGTTAAGAATAGGAAGAGTTAAAACTGACAGAGTAAGAGCTATTATTCAGTTTTATTTGAGGGTGGAAGAAGAAATGAGCGAAAGGAATAGGAGCGAGTGGGAGTGCGTGAATGGAAGTTTGAGCGAGAACAGAGGAGCAGTTATTCAAACATAAACACATCTCCACCCCGTGACTCTGAGGATTCTGCTCGTTACATCACACATTCTGTTCCCGCCCTCACAGACTTTATGAAATTCAATTGGCTTCTACTTGAGTCCTGTCTCCTCCCCCTCAGATCTGTTCATAACCTCATTGGCTGTTATGTGGTTTGTTTCCTCCCCATCCAGATATCTGTGTCAAAGAAACGATGTCATTGGCTGACAGTCTGTACAATCTCCAGCTGATCCAGGAGTTCTGCAGAGAAAACCTCAACAACTGCTGTCACTTCACCCTGGAGGATATGCTGTACGCCTCCAGCACCATCAAGGTAAAGCCTGACGTCCATGTAGTTTACTTCTCTTTACTACATTTATGTTTATGCATTTGGCAGATGCTTTTATTCAAAATGGCTTACAAAAGAGGAGCAAAAGCAATTCATAGAGGAGCCAACAATATTTGTGATATACAATGCCAGGTTTGCCAGAAATGCAGAGAAGAAAAGTAATTTTTTGTAAATAAATAAATGTACATTAAATGTCTTTACTGATACCATTTTACTGAAAGATTGATTGATGGATTTAATTTTGATAGATCATCCTGACATGTTTTGATGATGATTGTTACATAGGCCTGGGCGATAAAACGCACAAACACACACAAACACACGCTGAAATGAGTGCCGTGCCTGCATGCAATGAGGAGACTGAATCAAAAAAAGGAATATTAGTCAAATTTAAAATAAAAATTTGCATTCGAATGAAAAAACGGTATATTTGAATTTTAGGTGTGCGTCAGGGAGCCTTATCAGCGACGAACGAGATGCGGTAAGGATGATGTTGTTGCATTTTAAATGTTTTTGTTAGTCTATTTCAAGTTGAAACCACAAATGCGCCGCTGATGCATTTACCATTCAAAATATTAGAGAAATATAGAAGCTCAATGCGGAGAAGATATTGGTTAGGTTAAAGCCGAAACCAAGCCATTCACACAGAATGTATATTCGGCGCATTTTTGAGGCACACAACTATGACTGTTGCTCTCGCGTCTCGCACAAGAGATGAATATGAAGCCATGTAAAATTAAAAGAGGTTCAACTTTTAGAAAATAGAAAATATTTTATAGTTTGTTATAGAAAAACAAGTTATGCTCGGAGTCCAGAGCCTTGATCATAACATTATAACAGGCACCTTCAGAGACCTGCACGATCGCGGGACCCAATGCAACTGAGTGTAGCGCGGGACAATATTTATAAGACTAAAATAAGTTGTTGTTTGTCTTAATAGATTGGGTAAATTAAAAATACAATGGTTAAATTTAAACCTTTTTTCTACTGCTCTCTGTTTAAGAAAGGTTATAAAACATTTTCAATAATTATCGATACAGAATTATATGAAACATTATATCGTGATAATTTTTTAGCTATATCGCCCAGCCCTATTGTTACATGACAATCACTGTTCTGATTTTCTTTAGAAATTTCAGTTGATGTGCTGATTTTACTATAGAAGACAATGGTATGTAAGCTGACTAACCAGTAGAAAATTGTATTTATTTTTTTATTTTAATATATA